TAATAAGTGAGTGCTCTAGTACAAAAGCTAATCTAGTGGACGAGGTAACTAATGATAAGCTTGATGCTAAGTTTAAATTGGTTACTATAATCATAAGCTCTTTTATGCAACTGTGTCAAGCTAGCCCACCTCATAAGCCTTGCATGATCCTTGGTCTCGTTTATTTCTGTTCTTGACGGGTAAGTCTAGCTGAGTATCTTCTCGTACTCAGGGTTTGTTTCTCACCGCTGCGTATGACCAGCTTCTACTTTGTTGTTCTTTGCAAATCTTTTCTCCCGGTGAGGGATGAAGACTAGGCCGTTTAGGCTGCGCGGTCTCTACTAGTTCTCGTACCTGATAATGCTTTTGTGGGACATGACTCTGATCTGGCAATGTATTTGAAACTATGAAGTTATGTACTAAACTATGTTGCTTCCGCGCATTTAAACTTGGTTTGTAATATTTTATTTGAACTCTGATGGATGTAATCCGAATACTACTTATGAAATGTTGTAACGGATGATGTGTTGTGTTGAATCACTACGATCTTGATTTGTATGTCGAGAGTTGGTTGAAATCCTTCGTGATTTCCGGACTACCGGGATTATGGGAGCTTAAGTACAGGAATTTGATCGCTTCGGTGATTGTTTTTGTACTTACGTTCTTATGATTTGGTCGGTTCTGTTACAGCTTGGATCCTACCATTTAGCTATCTCGATTTCTATGCTAGCGAGATTTCCCTTGCTGCCACAAGAGAGCTAAATCGGCTCTCCCAGGCTGGCAAGGATCTCGGGGCCTATAATCTGGGTGAGGCGAGGCGAAGGAACATGGCGGAAGTCCAAGCACTCCCTATATTACTCCCACCATTCTAAATTATATGACGATTCGGCTTTTTTGATACATTGCTTTTACTACGTATATAGATATAGTGTATATTTAAGCATATAGCAAAATATATATATCTAGAAAAATCAAAATGTCTTATAGTTTGAAACAGAGGATTAGCAATTTAGCCTCCTCTCCCATCTTCTACACGCCCCAACCATTCACATCCCCTCAACCCACAAGATCGAATCGAATATTAGAGTGGAGCAAAGCAAGAGGGTGTTCACTCGGCACCCATTTGAATTATCTAGGGCTTATAATTTTGGTAGTAGACTAAGGGCAGTCTCAGTAGGGATTTTATGGTCTAGTTTCTAATACACCCATATTTTTAGAAATAGTGCAGAAGAGTTTCATCATCATGAAACTTTCATCATCTCTCTCTTCATCAATGCAGTGCCATGTCAGCGTATTTAATGCCCATAAAACTCTATGAAACTCTCATTGAGATTGGCCTAACGGCAAGAGATAAAGAGCACAGACTTCCCAGCTCTCCACCTCGAGCCCTCCACTTATTAACTTATTATTATAATTACAAAAGTGCTAATACTAGGCCACGGGTGTTTGCCCCCATCCGGAAGCTATCTTCATGGGCCTGCGCAGTAGACAGTCCAACATGCGTGCTCTTCCCAATCACACTTGCATCTAGCTATCGGGGCATCACCGCGCATCTGTCGCGCCCCCCATCCTCCACTGCGCGTCCGAACGCAGCTCCCGCGTCCCCGTGCCCGCATCGCATCCCACGCACTCCATCCCGTTCCGAACAAGCGCCAGCGTAGAACCGCAACCCCGCGCCCATCCCGCATCCGCACGGTGGAACCAAGCCCCGCGCCACCTGCCCCGCTTGTGGATGCGTGCCATGGAGGCGTCGGCACGTGAACCACGGTGGCGCAACATCAGCAGCAGGCGGACAGCGCCCTACAACACAAGATCTACTTTTGAAACATCCAGATGAAACATTTGCAGCATACGCCTGAAAACAGATGAAACACTTGAAACATATATGTATAGCAATTGCAACATGTGCAACACCAGATCAACTTTTAAAACATCCATATGAAACATTTAAAACAATTGTCTGAAATAGCTGAAACACTTGAAACATAGGCTTGTAACATGCGTGTATTGCCATCGTAACATATTGAAAGCTCTAGTTTGGTTTTGATGAATTGATGAAACCCTAAGTGCTAACCTAGTTTATCAAGTGATCATGAGATAGGTAGCACACTTCAAGTGGAGAAGCTAATGAAGATCATAACATGACAATGGTGATGGCATGGCGATGATTAAGGGCTTAAACTTGAAAAGAAGAAAGGGAAAAACAAAAAACTCAAGGCAAAGGTATAACTTGTAAGAGCTATTTTATTTTGGTGATCAAGACACTTAGAGAGTGTGATCACTTTTAGGTTTGATAGCCGTACTATTAAGAGAGGTGAAACTCGTATCGGAATACGGTTATCAAAGTGCCACTAGATGCTCTAACTCATTGCATATGCATTTATGATCTAGTGGAATGCTAACACCCTTGAAAATATTTGTGAAAATATGCTAACATATGTGCACAAGGTGATACACTTGGTGGTTGGCACATTTGAGCAAGGGTGAAGAAGTTAGAGGTGAAATGGAGTTGGTTGCAATGACGCTGGCGTCGGTCAACTGACCGGACGCTGGGTTGCTCTGCGACCGGATGCTGAAGGGCTACGTTCGGTCGTGTTGTCGGTCGGCACAGCGATTAGGGTTAAGCACCGGACACTGGGTTGTGTCCAGTCAAGCATGACCGGACGCGTCTGGTCGACAAAAACATGTTTTGGACCCTTATTGTAAACGATCGGACGCTGGGGGTCCAGCATCTGATCAGCTCTGTCAGAGCGTCCGGTCAACATTTCGACCGTTGGGATCAAACGTTCACAGTTGAACGCAGGGGACACGTGACCGCCATCGGGCGACCGGACGCTGAGGAGCAGCGTCTGGTCAGTTGGACCGGAGCGTCCGGTCAGCCCGTGTCATGCCCAGTGAAGGGGTATAACGGCTCTATTTCGTGGGGGCTTCTATTTAAGCCCCATGGCCGGTTGTAGCTCACTATCTTTGTCCATTTTCATTGACATAACAACCTTGTGAGTTTAGCCAAACCCCTCCCACTCATCTCCATCATTGATTCATCATCATAGTGAGATTAGGAGTGAATCCAAGTGCATCGCTTGAGTGATTGCATCTAGAGGCACTTAGTATTCGTGTTTCGCTGCGGATTTCGCTTGTTACTCTTGGTGGTTGCCGCCACCTAGACGGCTTGGAGCAGCAAGGATCGTTGAGCGGAGGGTGATGATTGTCTTCGGCTCCTATCGTGGTGATTGTGAGGGGTTCTTGACCTTTCCCCGGCGGAGAGCCAAAAGGTACTCTAGTGGATTGCTCGTGGCTTGTGTGATCCTCATCTTGTATTGGTTGTGCGGCACCCTATTGAGGGTTTGGCGTGTGAAGCCAATTAGCGCGTGAACCTCCAAGTGAGTGAATCGCCACAACGAGGAGTAGCTTGCCGGTAAGCAAGTGAACCTCGGTAAAAAATCATTGTGTTCATCCTTTGATTCCGAGGTGTTTGGTATTCATTGTTATTCATCCTTGTGATTGATTGGTTCATTCATCTACACAGCGGTATAACCCTCTTGATCGCTCTCTTTACTTTACCATAAACTAGTTGACAAGTTCTTTAGTGTAGTTGGTTGTGAGAGCTTGCTTGCTTGGTTAGTGTGGCTCTTTAGTTAGTCTTTGAGAGCACACTAACATAGAGTAATGTCATAGCTATTGTGTGAATAGATACTATCTAAACTAGAATTATGATAGGCGGCTTGCATTTTGAGTAGGCTAGCGCAACACTTGCTTCGCCTCATAATTGTCTAATCTTTTTGTTAAGTGTTGTTGTAGAAATTTTTATTAGGCTAGTCACCTCCCTCTAGCCATTAGGACCTTTCACATATGCAACATCTCAGATTGACTTTTGCAATATTCTGATGAAACGCTTGAAACATAAGTTAAAAAACGACTAAAACACTTCGAACATGGCGTTGCCAGCAGCCATGGCCTATCTGGTGAGCGACTGTGGTAACTAGCAGCTTAGGTCTAGAGGTAACGTCGAGAGCAAATGGCCTAGCGTCGCAGGCCTCCCCTTCGTGCCACAGGAGACAAAGTTCGGACCGGCGACGACCTCCTCCTAGTGGCGTCGAGTGGTGGTGGTGTGGTGTAGGAGCGTTGGGTGAGGTGGACGGGGGCGTACCGGTGGATAGGAGCGAGGCACGGGATGGTGGCGCGGCGTGGCTGGCCATGGGGTGCGGCATGTCAGGGGGGAAGGGGCTGCGTGCGTGGGAGACGGGCGTAGGCCTAAGGCCGGACATCCGGGCGCTAGTTTACCGTTATGAAGGAGAAGGCGTACTTCCATACAGTTGTAGGCGTAAAGTGGAGCCCGTCAGCCATGACGCTGATCGCCCGTCAACCGCTCATAAAGACCAACCCCTCTCCGTCACGACTCGTCAGTCGTCACCGCAGGGGGTAGCTGCCAGCCTGCCGTCATCGCCATCGTCATCGCCATCGCCATCGCCATCGCCGCGTGCGTTCTCGAACGTTCCGGTGGCCTACAAATATCCGTTCCCCAAGGCCGGCGACGCCGACGCGGTCACGCCTTCCTCCGACGGCTGGTTCACGTTCTCGACGACGGCGTGCGTCTGTCTAGGTGCGTACAGGACGGCGGGCGCTCAATCCGCCCACCCGCAACCTCGATTCGCTCGATTAAATTGTTTAAATCGAATCAGCGGTTATTTCTGTGGCCGGATGGTGGTTCTCGTTCCTGGGGAGGCGAATTCCGCCATTTCGTTCTTATTATTATCGGGGCTGGATTTAGTTGTTTGGCTCAAGGGTAATTTGTTAGATATAAAACTGGATTGCCATTTTGGTTCATGATGATGATTGACTAGATGATGTTTATTACTCCTACTAGATTAGATGCGCTTGAGGTTTCGAGCTCCCTTTTTTTCATGACTAATTCCCTAGCTTCCTTCCTTGCCAGACGGATAACCTGATCAGTAGCACTATCACATTCTTTTGGGTAATCCGAGGAATTGATAGCATAAGGTGGGTCCTGTATCAGGAACAAGATGGAAGAGAGCAGAATAGCTCGGATTTCAGTCACCTGGAGGGGCAGACAGCTTGATGTGGATGCGGATCCAAACTGTACCGTGAAGGAGTTTGGGCAACTGCTGCAGGAGTTGGCTAGTGTTAAGCCAGAGACGTTGAAGCTCATTGTTCCGCAATCGACAAACAAAGGCTCCAAGCTGATTACACCATTTTCTGATCCACATTCAAGGTTGACACTGAATGAAGCGGATATTAGCAAGGTAAGATGTGGCAGCGCGCGCTATTTGCATACTCATTGGCGTGTCGCTTGCTAGTGGATATTGTAACGGCAGCAGCTGGCGGATGAAATCATTGTGACTGATTTTTTTTCTTGATGCAGGGAAAACCTATCCGGATGATGGGGGTTTATGATGATGAAATCGAGGAGGTATCTGACAATGGCAAAAGACCTGACCAACGTATAATTGGATTTGATGAAGAAGAACAGCGGCTTAGGCAAAGATCATCAGGCAGGCCACAGATTTCGCTCAAACTTCCTCAGGGACAATACATCTTCTGTGATTTTCGGACACTTCACTTACCTGGGATTGAGGTTAGTCAACCCCCCTGCTCCCACCTGCTTTGTAATGCCTGGTGCTTTGCAGATGTTCCAGTTTTCCTTTACAGTGCCTTGCTTGAATGTACACTCTTCACCTCCCTCAATAGGTTCATTTGAGCAGTATGTACTTTAACTATTGGCTAATGGTTTAAGGAACTACATCAGTGTATTTTTGCACAAAGTTCTGTCTAGGACCGCATGTAAATTCTGGGAGCTGAAAAAAAGTGCTAATTGCTTTCTAGTGTCAACAATAAAATGGTTTTGGTTGTAAAACCTTGTCTAGAGCATATTTGTGCAAGTACACACATTTCTAATTTGTATGACCTTGTATGTGCAATCAGGCTGTTTTGACTTAAGCTTCTGTACCTGTTTACTTACCTTTTCCCTGCCAGCTGAATCCTCCACCTTCGGAAGCTCTTAAACGAATGCACATGCTTGCATGCGACCCTGGTATAATTGCGATCATGAAAAAGGTAATGGCCTTCAAGAAGTAATCCTATGCTTATTAACAGAGTTCCATCATTTTTATTTGACTTCGTTGTTGTTTTTTTCAGCATAAATGGAGAGTCGGAATCATGACTGAGATGGCTCCTGTTGGATATGTAGGCGTTAGTCCGAAATGTATTTTAGGTTTCAATAAGGTGAACATAAACTGCTACAATTTGTATATAATAGAAAAAAGTAGTGCATTAGTTTCTGAAAATATACCTGTGGGTCTTATGCAGAACATGGGAGAGGAGATATCTCTTCGCCTACGAACTGATGACTTGAAGGGATTCAGGAAGTACGAAAGTATCAAGAAAACTCTACTTCATGAGCTTGTATGTAATTTTTGGCTTTGCTAAAGATTTCCCTTATAGTTTGTTCACTGCATTGGGTCTTTTGTATCTTACGCTGAGTGCCTATATTGCAATTGCAGGCACATATGGTGCACTCTGAGCATGATGCAAACTTTTTTGCTCTTAATAAGCAGGTGTTTCCTAGATACTCCCATCACATTCAGTTGCCCTCTCTTTACATTTGAGTTTATTCAATTTTATATTTGCTTTTAATATCTGGCAGTTGAATGAGGAAGCTGCTTCCATGGACTGGACCAAGTCTAGAGGTCATATGTTGAGTGGTCGCAAAATCTTCGATTCATATGAAGACGAATTTGTTCTAGAACCAGAGATAACTGTTGCTGGTCACAGGCTTGGGGGAGAATCAAGTTCGCTGGCTAGTGCTCGTGCGTTGTCAGGGGCTGCTGCTTACCAGCGTTTTTTGGATGCATCTGCTAAGGCGGATCATGATGCTTCAGGCACTAAAATTGAATATAATCCTGATGATGTTCCTGAAGATTTTGTTCATGAAACTTTGAAGGTAGAGCCAGATCCAGATGATGCTATGCATGTGGATTCAGCAGCTGGGATATCATTGGCAGGACAGCCTACTATCAGTTACTCTGAGCCTGATCCTGATGATGTTGAGAAGCATGAGAAGCAAAGTTCTGATAGATGCCTACAACCTGATCCTGTTGATTCCTCAAATGCTAATAATCTGAACCTGGAGCTGAGGTTTGATGGAAGACACCATAGCGAACCTGATCCTGATGATGGTACTAATGAAGTTGTTCCGGAATCTGGAAACAAGATGGAAGTGGATAGTGAACTGGCAAACAGCATCGCAGTTTTAAAGTATGAATCTGACCCTGCTGATTCCTCAAATGCTATTGTCAACCAGGAGTTGGTCATCGATGGGAAGCATGGTGAAGAACCTGATCCTGATGATACTGCTTGTCAAGATGTTTTAAAATCTGGAAATGGGACAGAAAGGATAACAGAACAAAGCGTAAACTCCACAGTTTTGTCTGAACCTGATCCTGACGATCATGTTGTTGATTCAAACAGCAATGAGCTGCAAAGGATTGAAGAATCAGTGGCAGCCCTCTGTTCACGACTCCAGAAGTCAATTGAGACGCTCCGGTTGCAAGCAACACCTGCAGAGGCAGAGTCTGCTATTCAAACACTTTTTAAGATCATCAAGAATGTTATAGAACACCCAAATGATATTAAGTATAAGAGATTGCGTAAGGTATACTTGGTTGTTCTCATTTCTCATTATTCTTGCATATTATGATGCATCAGTCATTTGCTAAAGCAAATTCTCACAAATCCTTCTCATTTCCCACATTTGCAGTCCAATCCACATTTCCAAAGGAGTGTAGCAAACTATAAAGGTATTACTGTTTGCCCCACCAGTAGCCACTGCTTACTAGATTCTTGAAATGTATTCTATACTAATTGCTTAATCTATTTTACTCCAAAATCAGCTGCAATGGAGGTTCTTGAATTGATTGGCTTCTGCGAGGATGTGATCTCAGACGAGGTTGGGCGTGCAGAGACTTACCTGGTATTGAAAAGGAATGATCCTGGATTGCTATGGCTGGCAAAGTCCTCTCTTGAAGTCTCTCTGGCTTGATAAAATTTGATACATCATGGTTGCTATTTTTCGTTGTGAATATATTTGATTATTTGAACAAGAGAACTTAGCTATTGGCATGCACCATTTTCCTGTATAGGGACTGTTGTATACTTGCATATGAATACACAAGAATGTAATGCCACTTTACTTTCTGCTCGTTGTTTGCCATATCTGTGCCTTTGTCTTGGATGGCTTTCACTCCCATGTGATGTACAGCAAGATACCGAGTTTCACTGATTCAGGAGTTCATTGTACTTGAATTGCCAGATTATGCTGCATTTGAAACAAACAGAAGGAGCAATTTTTTTCACTGCGAGCTTCCTATATTCCATCTCTTCTGCTCTTGATAAGCAGACACTTGGTGTTTATAATGCAATTATTTTTCTAATGTCTTCTTGCAAGATTTTAGTCTGCCGTGTGCGTAGTTTTTCTGAGAGGGATGGAAGAAGGGAATGGTGCAAATGGCAGCCATTCTTAGAGAGGCCTCTCAAATAGTAAAGCCCTGCCGGCCTTCCTCCATTTTGATTTCTTGTTTCTCCATTTAAGTACTGGGTTTGGGTCGCCAGATGATCTTGAAGCAACCAAGGTTGCTTCTTGTTTTTATCTCCCTTTCCAGTCCGTTTTAAAAAATATACGAGGAAGATGGGTTGGTGGCTCGTCGTCTGGGCAATCTGTGCATTTCCCATCCACAGATTGTGGTCGACGATGCCTACATTTGGAACATCCAGCCTGAATTGCACTGGTACAAATTCTTGGTATCAGTTCTGAAATACAGGACGGGTCTACAGTAGGACACCATAGAGAATAGGGTGGAGTGGCAAGGCAGCACATGCCTGCTGGCTGCCCCTGGTTGTGATTTTATCATGATCGAAGAATAAATTGTACTTAACCAACAAACATCAAAATACAAGTACACAAAGCTCAACGATTTTATTAGGATTGAAGTTCTAAGAACTATAGCAGCTACATGTTCCATAATAATATCCAAAAGAGAACAATAATGTTAGGCTAGAACATGAACTCATCGTGGATAGGCGCCTGACAACAACATTTCTTCTTCCGTAGTGTATTGTCTACTTGCTTCCATAGTAAGTCCTTCAATTGAAATATAAGGAGTTTGATCCTTTTCATATCTCTTTGTTGCTATATTATGATGAGTATGCTTCTTCGTGGTTCTCAAGTTTTCTAGTGTCATCTCAACTTCCCCCATTGTAGGCCGATCTTCTCCATTCAATTTTGTACACATTGCTGCTAGCTTGGCAACTTCTTCAACCTTTTCAACCTCTGCTTCTTCCATGATTTGAGGATCTATTATGCCAACTAGGTCACCCTCAGTGACTAGTGATGCGAAATGTGAAACAAGGCTGTAACCATCACTAGTCCGCACAGTTAGTCTCTTTCTAGTAAGTAATTCTATAAGAAGAACACCAAAACTGAAAACATCACTCTTATCTGTTAGGCGGGATGTATAATAATACATTGGGTCTAAGTAACCAATGGTTCCTTGAATGGCCGTAGTCACTCCAATTTGATCAATTGAGATGTGCCGTGAAGCCCCAAAATCTGATACCTTTGCTGTTAAATTGTCATCAAGAAGTATATTAGATGACTTGATGTCTATATGAAGTACTGGTGTTGAAGCAGCTGAATGTAGTTACGCTAGAGCTTTGGAAGTTTCGAGGGCAATCCTCATCCGATCATCCCACGGGAGTGATATGTTTCCTTCAACATGAAGATGATGAGCAAGCGTGCCATTTGATATAAACTCGTAAACCAACAGTGGAACTTCTGTCTCTAAGCAACACCCAAGGAGTTTGACAATATTCCTGTGGTTGATTTGGGAAAGAATTGCAACCTCATTTATGAAATTATCAATTTCTTTTTGTACTATGATCTTTGATTTCTTAATGGCCACAACTTGCAGGTCTAGCAGTCCCTTATAGACTATACCATGCCCTCCACCACCAACTTCATGAGATGGATCAAAATTGTTTGTAGCCTTCTCTAGCTCTCCCAAGGTAATGATCATTCTTTCACCAATATCTGACTTCTGTGATACCAATTGTTGGAGTAGAAGCCCATGATTTTGCTTGAAACATCTTTGTTTTGTCTTTTAAACCTCATGCTGCTTGATTTTACGTGCCACAAAGGGTGCACCAATTGCCAAAAGCAAAAAAACCGTGCCACCGCCGACAGCTAGCCCGATTTTCAACACTGAAATGTATGGTTAAGAGGCAATATCATAATTTGGATTCAGCTAGAAAGCATGTTCAGTAGAGAGAAACAATTTGTTAGTGATTATTTCGAACTACTGCAGCCTATAGAAATATGTGATTAATAAACACCTTATACTAATCAGGTATATATGTTTTGGGTATAGAGATACAAATTAAAAATCAAGTTACTAAAGATGTTACACATAAGCAGCATGTCACCTGAGAGGGAGCTGCAACCCCCTTTTGTGAAGGGGTCTCCGTAGGTTCCTTGCTTACATCGGCAATGGAAAGTTCCAGGCATATTTATGCAAACCCCGTAACATGATTGGAGCTCCGGATGAGCACACTCATCAATGTCTGAAAAGATACAGCATGGTGAAAATATGAACAGGTTGCATATTATTGGAGAACCGAGCCATGTAAATTAGAGATGGATAGTAAAATTTATGAAAATGTTTGCAAACAAAATGAATCAAAAAGCGACCTAGATACTCTTTAGGTCCCAAAATAAATAACTTTGTAAGGTTCAAAATTTGTCCCAAAATAAATAATATTCTACACAAACATGGAACACTAAGCTACCTCCTAATGCAGAAGCTAATCATGGTTGCATGCAAACTATAAATGCCAAATCCAATAGATGTCTAGAAAAAGAAATGAGATGAGGGTACATGCTTCTTTTCAATGTCCTTAATCTATCTAAAAATTTCTAGAAACTTATTTATTATGGGGACGGAGGGAGTAGATAAGAACTATTTAAAGTATAGTATAGCCATGTCAGAATCAAATTTCATCATACCTGTTTCCTTCAGAATATATAACATATGGTTGGCTAGTGTGATTTTTGTATGGCCCTAGCAATTAACCAGAGAATCGAGAGGCACATTGGCGAGTGGTTTCAAACTCTTATCCCCTCCGTTGTTATGTCATGTTAGCTTTGTTCTAAGTCAAATATTTCTATCTTTAACTATTTTTTTTTGAAAAAATGTATAGGTTAACAACATAAGATTTATGTTTTGAGATTTATTATGAGAAATAATTTCATATATAAATAGTTCACATTTTGTGAAACTGCTAAGTAGATTCTTTGAAATTGATGGTCAAACATAGAAATGTTTGACTTTGACAAACCTTTTTTTCTCGATCACGCAAAAGGTTTGCGTGTCTTTGTATTACGGTAGAGAAAAAGTTTAATACAACACACCTTAGCGGCGTCCTAGTGGGTTAGAAGAGTTTTACATGGACGCTCAAACTCTCCCTAGTGTACTGGAAGTTAAACTATTACATTGGACACTGATTAACCCAAAATGCGGCGCCGGATAGGAGGCCTATAGCCAGGCTGTCGAGCGGCGGCGGTGCCGTTTGCGCACACCCATGTCACCGTCTAGCGGGAACAACTCACGAAGTGCCTGCATGTTACCGGGATCATCGCTGTAGATTTCATCGTATGCCTTCATGGCCGATGTGGACGGAGAGGACATCCCGCTAGTTAGTCCTAGGCGCTTCAAGACAAGGTGCTCACCTCGTTTGGACGCTGGGATATGCGACAAGCTCTGTGCCGCTATCCGCTTGCTCCTCTTGGGGAGCGCGGGCGGTGGATGTCCGTCGTGGGCCGCAACATCTCCTGGTAGCTCCAGGAGTGGTGGCTGCCTCGCCTTTGTGACTCGCTTGGTGAAGCGCATGAGGCGTCTGTCGGCACATGTCGCTTGAGGAGGAGTGCGGTTGACGGCGTTCGTGAGCGCCATCATCGTCGCGCCTCCCGTGGTGGCAGCCCCGACCAACGCTAGGTTAGGGCGTGCCTCGGCGTCCATGATGTCGGGCTGTCTCCCTCGAGGTGGTGTGACCGGTGGTGGCTGCTACACAGGCGACGACTGAGGTGAATCTGTCGCCCGCTGGGTAGCCATCGCCGGAGAACGGGTGTCCACCAGTGATGCATCTGCCTCCTGAGAGGTGGCTTCCGGCACAGGTGAGAACCCGGGTGGTGGTGCTCCAGCTAGGCGGCTCACAACAAGCGAGGCGACGAGCTCCTCCAGCGTTGGGCCGACCCACGCGGGAGTCCCCGCTCTCGCATACAGCTCTAACATCAGGAGTCGACACGGGGGATAGGTTTTCTTCCGTGGTCCGGTTGGCGTGGATGCCACGTGATCTTCCACGTTAAGCTTTTGAGATTCTGGTCGCGTTCGAGGCTATGATTATTTTCGGCCGTGTTCGAGCCATGTTATTTTTGTGATGATTAGGTATCATCACGTTGGGACGATTAGGTATCTTCCCGAAATTTGTGTGTTTCCAACCCCTAAGAAGCCATAGTAGAGTTATATGGATATCTAAGGTCTCGTACATTCGGGTACGAGGTCTTGTTAGGTCTATTTTATCCACTGATCATGTATGAGGTTGTACCTATCGTGTGGGGAAATTGGTACACCTCTGCAGAGTTAATTAAACCTATTCGAATAGTCACGTCCTTAGAATGGACAAATGCTAGGATGAGATACTATGATTAGATTTACTTTTATGTGTAATGAAACTGGTAATGCAATTGATGCTAGCCCAGGGACTAGTGGGAATGGTAATACTCCGCTAGGACCCAACCTTTAATCATAATCACCACTACACTTCTATTTCCACCCTATGGTTAGGGTTTACTGAGTACGTATGTACTCACCCGTTGTTGACCCACAGACTTCGGCACGGAAGAGGACTATGACTTCGACGAAGAAACGTACCACGAGGATTAGGAGTCACCCAAGGAAATACGTTCGTAGGAGTATGACATCGAGGCTAGGGTTTCAGCCGCGCTCAAGTTGCTTGTGGAATAGGACACCGCTTCGCTGTATAATAATCCCGCTCTAGAGACCACCAATAATGCCATTTCACGGCCATAGTATTATGCTAGATATGTAGCCTATGACCATGCCCCTTTGGGCTACTATTGTAAGACCTTATTTTAGATATTAATAAAGCTCAGAACCTTTTATTATATATATCCGTATACCATTTTTGTGATTTGGTGCGTACTTATGCGTGATCCTGGCGCAAGTACGGATGCACTTAGGACTCTCAAATCGAGGGGCCGACACTCGGTTTCTGAATATGTTGCCAGCTTTACTTCTCTTACCGATCAGCTCATAGCATATAATTCTGGTGTTGATCCTGTCTATTTCGTCACCCGTTTCATCGATGGCCTGAAACCTGAATTGCGTTCAATTCTGCTTGTCCAACACCCCAAAAGTTTGGATGCTGCTTGTACCCTGGCGTTGTTGCAGGAGGAAGCTGGCGGTGTTAAGGACTCGGCAAGGGACGCTTACTTGTCACCGTTCAAATTGCATTCCAAGCCGTCGTATCCGATTCCTCCTCCTCCGACGGCGGCTAAGCCTGCTGCTCAGCCAGCGACAGCCTCTGCTGTGTCAACGACAGCCTCTGCTGTGTCTGAGTCAGACTCGAAGCTGGTAGCCCTCAAGGCCTATTGCCGAGCCATGGGTTTATGCTACAAAGGTGCCGCCAAGTGGACCAAGGATCACAAGTGTGCCCCTGAGATTTTACATGCCGTACAAGATCTCTGGGAATCTCTGTCCATTGCTGCGGACATGAGCTCTGGTGAGGACTCTGTTACACCGTCTGAAACCCTGTTGATGGCAGTTTCTGATTCTGCAGTCTCTGGTGCTCCTGCTATACGTACAATTCAGTTCATTGGGTCAGTAGATGGGCTTCCTGTTACAATCTTGCTTGATTCGGGCAGTACATCATCTTTTGTTAGTGACTCTTTGGTTCAGCAGTTGACCTCTCAGACTATTCTACCCCATAAGTCATCTGTTAGTGTTGCTGGTGGTGCTCTACTTTTTAGCAAGGGCATTTTGCATAATGTTACTTGGAGCATTGACAGTCATGCATTTACATCTGATTTCAAAATATTGCCATTAGCACACTTTGATATTATCCTTGGTATGAATTGGCTTGAGCAATTCAGTCCTATGCAAGTTCATTGGCGCCATAAATGGGTCAAACTTAATTACCAAGGCCAGCCTATCACCCTCTGTGGCTTGACATCTTTGTCTTCTGAAAAACTGTTGTTACAAGTCTGCTGTGCTGTTACTGATGAGGCTGATGAACCTCAGTTGGATCTGTCTTCCTTACCTACTGAGATACCGTCATTGATCCAGTCATTTCAGCATTTTTTTAGCCTCCAGTTGGCTTGCCTCCCAAGAGAGCTTGTGATCATGTTATTCCTCTGCTACCTGAAGCTAATACTGTGGCTATAAGGCCTTACAGATATCCACCAAAATTGAAAGATGAGCTGGAAAAACAGGTGTCAGAAATGCTTGAACAGGGCATCATTTAGCCAAGCAAGAGCTTGTTCTCATCACCTGTTCTGCTAGTGCCCAAGAAAGATGGCAGCTATAGATTTTGTGTGGATTTCAGGCAGTTGAATGCCCTTACTGTAAAATCCAAATTCCCAGTACCCATATTTGATCAATTGATGGATGAGTTAGCCAATGCCAAGTGGTTTTCCACACTGGATCTTAGAGCTGGATTCCACCAGATATTACTGCAATCAGATGAGGAGCACAAAATTGCATTTCATGTTAGTCGCTGAATTCTCACTCTTGGAAGTAGCAGAATTCTTACTCTCATCGAGAGAGGATGACACTAGGAGTTGGAACAATTTTCTGGTTTATTTCTCAATGCCATACCAACCTGAGGGGTTGGGGTTAGATATTTATAGGCTGCTAGCCAGCCAAGCATATGCCAAGATGCTAGTCTAAGATGCTAATATGCTGTTCTAGCTAAGATGTTGTCCTCTAGTCTAAGATGCTGTCCTCTAGTCTAAGATGCTGTCCTAAAAACAGAAAAACAGCCACAAGGACCATGTGAGCAGCACAGCCCTACAAAGACTAGCCACACATGAGACTTATCCATCATTCTTCCCCTAAGTCTTGTGCGTCATCTTGTGGGAGAGTTGAACCATCCTGGTCCTGGAGCAAAGCTCAAGGAACTTGATCCTCCCAAGGGGCTTGGTGAGCAGGTCCGCAAGCTGGTCCTTGGTGTTGATGTAGCTCGCCTTGATGCTCCCTTCCTCCAAACAGCCTCGGATGAAGTGGTACCTCACCCGGATGTGCTTGCTGCGTTCGTGGAACACGGGGTTCTTTGCCAGGGCCAGAGCGGACTTGCTGTCCACCCTGAGCTCCACCGCTCTAGTGTCTCTGCCGAGGAGATCACCAAGCAGTCGAGCGAGCCAGAGCGCCTGAGTCGAAGCGGTGGAGGCCGCTATGTACTCGGCCTCGCAGCTAGACAGGGCCACCACCTGCTGCTTGACCGACTGCCAGCTAACGAGGCACTTGCCGAGGAAGAAGAGGATCCCGCTCGTGCTCTTGCTGGTGTCGATGTCGCCGGCGTGGTCGCTGTCGCTGTACCCGACGAAGTGTGCCGCCCCAGGGCACCTCGGGTAGTAGAGGCCGTGGTCGAGAGTCCCCGCAACGTAGCGGATGATCCTCTTCACAGCCTGCTGGTGCTCCGTCGTCGGTCGCTGCATGAACCGACTAACGTAGCCGATGGAGAATGCCAAGTCCGGCCGTGTGTGGGCGAGGTAGCGAAGGCTCCCCACAAGACGCCGGTACTGCGTAGCGTCCACCTCCTCCGTCGTGCTGTCGTGGCTCAGCTTCAGCCTCTCCTCCACCGGAGTGAGAGCTGGGTTGCAGTCGGTGAGCCCAGCTAGCTCAACGACGCGCTTGGCGTAGGCGGTCTGTCGAAGCGTGATCCCGGAGTCATCCTGGTGCACCTCGATTCCCAGGTAGAAGGAGAGAGGCCCCAGGTCACTCATCTGGAAGGTGGCCTTCATCTCTTCCTTGAATGCCGCCACCTCCGCATCCTTGGTGCCGGTGATCACCAAGTCGTCGACGTAGACACCCACCAGCAGAGCATTACCTCCACTGCCCCGTCGGTAGATGGCCGCCTCGTGCGGGCTTTGCTCGAAGCCCACCCCCTTTAGCGTGGAATCCAACTTGGTATTCCACGCCCTCGGTGCCTGCCGCAAGCCATAGAGGGCCTTGCGCAGGCGGAGCACCTTGCCCTCCTTGCCGGGGATTGCAAATCCCGGCGGCTAGTGCACGTAGACCTCCTCCTTCAAGTCGTCGTTAAGGAACGCCGACTTGACGTCCATGTGATGAACACGCCAGCCCTCCTGGGCAGCTAGCGCAAGGAGGAGTCGCACGGACTCCATCCGTGCCACGGGAGCAAAGGCGTCGTCGAAGTCGACCCCCTCCTGCTGCACGAAACCTCGTGCCACCAAGCGAGCCTTGTGCTTGACGATGGCACCGGCTTCATCCCTCTTCAGCTTGTACACCCACTTAAGGGTGATCGCGCGGTGACCACGAGGAAGGTCAGCAAGCTCCCAGGTGCGGTTCTTCTCAACCGCATCCATCTCCAACTGCATCGCGGCGCGTCATGCTGCGTGTCTCTCGGCCTCTGCATACGACCGAGGCTCGTCGTCGTCACACGCAAGGTGCAACTGCGCCTCCAGGTCGTGAGGCGCCGGTCCCGCCATCGGCTGGTCACCGAGAAGGTTCTCCATCCTACGGTACCGCAATGGCTCGCCGTCGTGGTACGCGTCGATGCGCTCCTCGTCGTGAGAGAGCGGAGTAGCGAGCTCAATCGGGCTGTGCTCGACACGAGCTGGAGTAGACGTGCCCGGAGAGGTGCCTGTCGATGCTGGAGTGCGTGGCGTTGCCGGCTGTGGTGGAGCCGGCGAAGAACTCATCGCAGCCGAGGTCCTGGCTGGAGAGTGTGGTGCTTGCTCGAGATGTAGCAGCGCCGGGTCGGGTGGAGGCTCGGGGGCTCGGGTAGACGCGCTCGCCGAAGAAGAGCCGCCTACTCCCCGGCTCCCTCGAAGTGGGCGTACTTTCGACGATGAAGTCGTCGTGCGTCGGAGCCGAAACCATCGCCCATCGCCTTGTCCCCACGCCCATCCTCGCCCTTTCGTCCGAACACAACGTCGCGCGCGTGCGCGCACACGCCGTCTTCGGTCGAGGATGCGGTAGGCCTTCGCGCCCCTCGTAGCCGGCGAACACTCACGGAGTGCTCTCATGCCGTCGAGCTTGCCGATGTGGCCAAGCTCCTTGGCGAAACGCGAGGTAGCCAAGACCCGCAGTGGGAGACCGCTGGCTTGCGCCCATGCCAAGCCTTGTACGACGTCCTGCCGTCGAGCGCCTTGGTAGGCGAGCGGTTGAGGATGTAGACGGCCGTCACCACCGCCTCTCCCCAGAAGACAGCCGGCATCCCCCTCTGCTTGAGGAGGGCCCGAGCCATCCCCACAACCATCTGGTTGCGCCGCTCGACGACGCCGTTCTGCTGCGGGCTGTACGGCGCGGAGTAGTGGCGCTGAATGTGCTCGTCAGCGCAGTACGACGCGAATTCAGCCGTCGTGAATTCGCCGCCGTTGTCGGTCGCGCAAGACGCGCAGCTTTTTGGCCGCACTCTACTCCGCGCGGCGACTGCGCGTGCACGATTAAGTCCGCGACCTCTCCCCTTGCTGCCGGGACCATCACCCACATGTAGCGGGAGAGGTCGTCGACGAGCAGCGAGGAAGTAGCGTCGTCCTCCCGGTGTGGCGGTGTCACCGGGCCACACAAGTCCCGTGCACAAGCTCGAGCCTCTCCTTGGCTCGGCTAGCCACCAGGAAGGGGAGTCGCCTCTGCCGTCAACACGCAGACGTCGCAGAGCTGCTCCCACATGGTCGAGGCACGGCAGGCCTCGCACCATCTCCGTGGCACCGAGCCGCCTGGGCCTCAAAGTGAAGGTGCCCGAACGCTGCGTGCCCGCTGCCACGCCTCGTCGTCCCGACGAGCGGCGGCGAGACAGAGGGGGTTGTGCCACCGCACGTTAAGGACGTAGAGTCGATTTGCGCTTACGATACCTTGGCAAGAAGGCGGCGATGGCGATCCCAAATCCTCATGACTCCGTCCTCAACCACCACGCGAACCGTTCTCATCCAAATTGTCCCAAGTCGATGATGGAGTTCTCAACGCAGGATGTAGTAGACTCGGTGAGCGCCTGTGCTCACCGAACACGATGGTGAAGATGACGGAGCCGACGCCTTTGATCTCCACGCCGGAGGCATCCCCAAACTTGACGGAGCCTCGGGCGCTAGAGTCAAGCTCGGTGAAGAACTCTCGTCGACCGGTCATGTGATGGGTGGCGCCGGTGTCGAGGCACCACCCGTCGATCTTGTCGTTGCGGGCTGCCGCCGCCGAGGAGGGCGTGTGCTTTTGGCTCGTCAAGGTGGAGGAGAGCCGCGCTGCGGCGGTGCCGGAGGTAGATCGATCTTTGGCATGTGCCATGAACAGCCGGCTCCTCCTCCTCCTCGTGTGTGGCGTGGGCCCCCGCGCGTCGTGGTTGTCGACGATCCTTGGCCCAATGGCCAAGATGGCGCAGATTGGCGGCGCGCCGTCTCGTCGCGGGCTTGTTCTGCCAATGCGCGCCGCCTGGCGCCTCGCGGGCATCACCCTCGGCACGTCCTCGCGCCCCGGCCTAGGCGTCTCTGCGCGCCTTGCGCGGCTTGCCACGCTTGCTGCCGCCTGTCACGGAAGAAGGCTCCCCCTTCCTCTGGTCACCTTGGCTGGCAAGCCACTGCTCCCGAGTGAGAAGGAGCTTCCCGCCAGTGGTGATGGGCCCCGAGAGGGGCTCAGGCTCATCGCCGACGACGACCTTGAGGCGACCTATCGCCTCCTCGATCGACATCGTGGAGAGATCCAGCAGAGACTCGATCGAGCGAGCCATCTGCTTGTACTTCTCGGGAACACAGCGGAAGAGCTTTTCGACAGCTCTCTCCTCGTCGTAGGTGTCGTCGCCGAACTGCACCATCTTCTGCAATAGAGTGTTGAGACGGAGAGCAAAGTCATCAACATCCTTACCTGGCTTGAAGGCCAGGTTCTCCCACTCCTTGCGAAGTGCCTGTAGTGTGGACTTGCGGGCGCGGTCGCTGCCGATGGGTGCCGCAGCGATGGCGTCCCAAGCCGCCTTGGCAGTCCGCTTGCTGGTAAGCGAGAACTGCATCTCGGGCAGATCGCAGCGATGAGAGCATCCGGCGCCCGTCGATCTAGGTCGTAGTCGACGTCGCCGCATCGGGACCGCCTCCCACATGCCGCCGCACTGGGCTTTACCTCATCACGCATCCCACTCGGCGTAGTTGGTCTTGGTGAGGGTAGGCCACCCACCGCCAGGACCGACGCCCCCGACAACAACACACGGAGCCCGTGGTAACCACGGTACCGATCCGGGAGAGAGAGCCACGCCGCTGTGAAGGCCGCGCTCTCCATCGACCCGTCGGTAACGATCCGGGAAGAGAGAGCCACGCTGCCTGTGAAGGCCGCGCTCTCCATCGATCCGTCCGCCACCGTTGTTGTGCACGCCTCCTCCAGGAGCGCCGCCGCCGTGCGCGCCTCCTCCAGGAGCGCCACCGGCGCGTCCACGCCTGTCTGGGCTGCCGCTGCGCTCGTGGGCGTCTGCGCGACGCCCAGAGCGCCACCGCCGCGCGCCGCCTCCTCCGTGAGCGCCGCCAGCCGTCCGTGCTGTCTCGCTGCCGCCACGCTGCTGCGTGGCGCGTCGCTGCTGCCTTCTTCGCCGCCAGCGCTGCGTCTTGCCTCCCTCTCTAGCAGCTCGAGGTCCGCGTCGGCGGTGTCGTCAGCGGAAATGGAGCTGCCGATGCTGCCGCGCAGAGCCTCGACCTCCGCCATTGAGCCGCATTACGCGTTGCATTCGCCGCCGCCGCCATTGCCTCGCCTCCGCTCTGCCTTGCCGCCGCCAGCTCACGCTGCCGGCCTCGGCGCGCTTGTTGCCGCCGCCGCGGCGGTCTCTCCCCCGCTTCGCTTTCGTTCCTCTGCCAGCGGCAAGTTCGGCCTCTGCCGGCTTGCCGTGCGTTTCGAGGCGCACCGAAGGCCGAGATCGCTTTTGGACATGACGCGCTACTAGGGGGCTGCTGCGTGGGGAGATGGCTGCTTCAGAGGAGCTGCTTTTCGTCTGCAGAGATGGGGAGGTGAGCAGAGAGCGGCCGGCTACTGCTTTGCTTCGCAGCAAAAATGGGCTGTTGTGTGGTCAGGAAGGAGATGAGCAGGAGATGCTCAGGCTACAGGATAGTACGGCTCTGATACCAGTTGTTAGTCGCTGAATTCTCACTCTTGGAAGTAGCAGAATTCTTACTCTCATCGAGAGAGGGTGACACTAGGAGTTGGGACAATTTTCTGGTTTATTTCTCAATGCTATACCAACCTGAGGGGTTGGGGTTACATATTTATAGGCTGCTAGCCAGCCAAGCATATGCCAAGATGCTAGTCTAAGATGCTAGTCTAAGATGCTAATATGCTGTCCTAGCTAAGATGCTGTCCTCTAGTCTAAGATGTTGTCCTCTAGTCTAAGATGCTGTCCTAAAAACAGAAAAACAGCCACAAGGACCACGTGAGCAGCACAGCCCTACAAAGACCAGCCACACATGAGACTTATCCATCATTTCAAACTCATTTGGGCAGTTATGAATTCAGGGTTATGGCTTTTGGGTTGAATGGGGCTCCTAGCACCTTCCAAGGGGCTATGAATTCTACTTTAGCTCCTGGACTGAGGAAGTTTGTGCTTGTGTTCTTTGATGAAATTCTGGTGTATAGCAATAGTTATGAAAAACATTTATTCCATCTAGCACAAGTGTTTCAGTGGCTGTCCAAAGATCAATGGAAACTCAAATTTTCTAAGTGCAAGTTTGCTCAATAGTCTTCTATTGCTTATCTTGGGCATGTTATCAGCAGCACTGGTATTTCAACAGACCCAGCTAAGATCAAAGCAATCCAGGACTGGCCAGTACCCTCCAATGTTAAGCAGTTGACGGGCTTCCTTGGGTTAGTAGGCTATTACAGGAAATTTGTGAGAAACTTTGGTATTATAGCTAAGCCATTGACAGAACTTCTTTGTAAAGATGCTGTGTTCACTTGGGCTGCTATTCACAATGACACATTTCAATTGCTGAAGACTGCTCTTGTATCTGCTCCTTGCCTGGCACTTCCCAATTTTTCGCTACCATTTCACATTGAGACAGATGCTTCTGCTGTTGGTGTGGGAGCTGTTCTGCTGCAACAAGGACATCCATAGCCTTGGGTCCTAAGAATCAAGGGTTGTCCACTTATGAGAAGGAATACTTGGCGATTGTTGTAGCTGTGGACCAGTGGAGGCCATATTTATTACAGAATGAGTTTTTCATCCATATTGACCAAAGAAGCTTAGTCCATCTTAGTGAACAGCCACTTCACACCCCTTGGCAACAAAAGTTATTCACAAAACTTTTTGGTCTCAATTACAAGATCTTATATAAGAAGGGAGTAGAGGATGGAGTAGCAGATGCTTTGTCCAGGTGTCCCACTGCTGATACCCTTCTTTCAGTGTCTACTGTTGCCCCTCAATGGCTGTTGGATCTGCAAGATTCTAATGCCCAGGATCCTGAAACAAAGCAGTTGCTCGCCAAGCTGTCATTATCATCTTCTGCAGACACTCATTTTTCTCTCTAGGATGGTTTGCTCAGGTATGATGGCAAGCTTTGGTTGGGACACAGTGTCCAGTTTCAGCATAGAATTTTTGCTGCCATGCATGATAGTACTTTGGGAGGGCATTCTAGGGGACCTGATACTTATCAGCGCATCAAGCAATTGTTTTACTGGCCAAACATGAAAACTGATATATTTGCCTTGGTTAAGAGCTGCTCAGTTTGTCAGCAAGCCAAGCCTGACAGGAGTAGTTGTCCTGGACTACTGCAGCCATTGCCAGTTCTAGATTCTGCTTGCTCTGTCATTTCACTGGATTTTGTTGAAGGTTTGCCACAATCTGGTTCTGCCAATTCTATATTGGTTGTCATTGATGAGTTCACCAAATTTGGGCATTTTATTCCACTGAAACACCCCTTTACAGCTCAAAAGTGGCTAAGCTATTCTTGGACAATGTCTATAGGCTTCATGGCATGCCCACTGCTATTATCTCTGATCGAGATCGAATTTTCACCAGCACATTTTGGAAATCCTTGTTCAAGCTTGCTGGTATGGAGCTCAAGATGAGTTCAGCTTACCATCCCCAAACGGATGGCCAGACGGAGCGTCTAAACCAGTGTATGGAGACTTATCTACGATGTTTTGTTCATTCATGCCCAACCAAATGGATCAATTGGCTATCGTTGGCGGAGTTCTGGTATAATTCAAGTCATCATTCAGCTCTCGGCCGATCACCTTTTGAGGTACTTTATGGACATGCCCCTCGGCAATTTGGTCTGTCTGCTGCCTCTGTCAGTTCCCAGGTGCCTGTTATTGATGACTGGTTGGCTGAGCGAGCTCTTATGCAAGATTTGGTGAGGCAACATTTGCTTCGTGCTCAAGAACGGATGAAATGTCAAGCCGACAAGCATCGGTCTGAACGGCAGTTTAACGTGGGCGATTGGGTATATCTTAAGCTCCAGCCATACATTCAGTCATCCCTGGCTTATCGTTCACATCGGAAGCTAGCCTTTCGCTTCTTTGGTACATTCCAAGTTGAAGCTCGTGTTGGTGCTATGGCCTACAAGCTTTCGCTGCCACCTTCGTCTGCCGTTCATCCGGCCTTTCATGTGTCCCAGTTGAAGGCCTCCCATGGTACTGAACCGGTGGCTCTGGCCTTGCCAACTGATGCTATCGAATTTCAGGTTCCTCAGCAGATCCTTCAGAGGCGTTGGACGTCCGGTGACAACCCCGTCGAGCAAGTGCTAGTTAAGTGGTCGTAGATGCCGGCGGCTTTGGCTACCTGGGAGAACGCTGACAGTCTTCGGCAGCAATTTCCAAGAGCGCCGGCCTGGGGTCATGCTGGCTCTGAAAAAGGGGGATGTTATTCCTGTTCGCCGTCTGACAACGGCTCCGGCCCAAAACAGCCCTGAAGACCGGGCGGCAAGGAACCCAAGGTCTAGGAGGCCCAATACTCTGGTTACCGGCCCAATGTGGCGCATGTAACAGACTACTTAAGGAGGGAACCAGAGAGGACGAGGGATTATGAGATCTGTAACCCATAACTAAATTCGTTAATCATTCCTCTTCCTGCTCCTATTCTGCTGTCTTCTTCCCCAATCCTTTTTCTTACCTGCATTAGCTAACAGTGCAGCCCGACAACGTTACATCGGTCGCCGCCGCCGCCACCGCTGCTGCTGGCAGCAGCAGCAATGCAACCACGGCAGCGCCCACGAATAGCGCGGCGGCCTCCTGCTCATCGCCACGCTCTTCTCCAAGATTGTAAACATTTGTTGTGTGTTCTTCCAACAAGCTGGTTCTCCGAGTGAAGCTCCCACTGCTCCTATATATCGATCAGCCTAGTCACCTTGCATATAGATAGTGCTACCAATGAAATAATCGGAAGTTAGGAAACAATGAGGAAATTGATCTGGATTCATGAATCACGTGGCTAGATCTGCAGATTTTGAATCCAACAGTAGTTTACAGCAGCTCCCGACAAGCACTAATTAAGCTAATCCCCTGAACAAAGATACCTGCAAAGTTACGTTCAAATTATGCCAAGTTTTAATTTGGGCATCACGCATGCGGCCAACAGATAGCAGCAGGATTCCCCCGCGTGGTTGTTGCACGACACGCTTAGGGCCCGTTCGTTTCCAGCCCCGAATGGCCCGGAATTGTTCCGGGCCTAGAACCATTCGATACTTTGTACTGGGCTGAAAATGTTCCTGGCCGGGAATGCCTAACCGAACGGGCCCTTAATCAGTACAACTGTTCGATTAACTTTTCATTTAATTAATAATGACAGGATTAATAAGTACTAGTACATCTTTTGGCCCACTGTAGGAACGAACGCGCGTGTGTGTCCACCTCCACGGCGCCACGGCGTTAAGTAGCTTTTCAATCTCAAAAAGGCACATGAAACTTCCCACAAGTTAGGACTTCGGAGATGTGTTCATCACACTGTCACGCGTGTGTGTACACACCAAAAAAAAAAACTGAGCCTAATTCGGAAGGCGTGAGGTGTAGTTAGTACTTCAATGACCTAGTCCATGGAAAGAAATCTAGAGTATCAACTGCATTCAACGAACATAATTCTTTTAGATAATAATGATCTACAGGCGTAATGAATTAACTTACAATTTTTTGGGAATGAAAATACAATCCATGAATGCATGGAATATATAAGAGTCGAGTAATTCTCAAATATTTACGAAAGAACAAAAGCAACAGTTGTTCACTTAGGTCTCAAACTGTAGCACCCGGTTTTAAGGGATACGTACCATACGTGAGCCCAGAAAGTCAAATCTCACATACAGCTACAAATAAGGGCAATATCATTAGACAATGCTCAATATATAACGTACTTAGTATAAAGAATATAACCTTAGATGGCAAACAGCGGAAAGACAACTCCGATCTTCGGGTGAAGACTCCAAATCCACAGGGACAACTGACTGGTTGATCACAAGCCTAATTCCTCCAAACTCTAGCAATCTGGTACCCATCTGGGATTTTTATCCAAACAATTAAAAAATAAAGCAAGCGTAAGTACATGTCGTACTCAACAAATATAACATGGGGTTCATGAGGCTCAAAAGCCTGATACTGCTTTAACTGCGATTAGCTTTTAATTGTTACCATTTTAGCAAAGGAGTAACAACAAGTTTATCACAAGCCCGTATAAACACATGATCAGGTAAACATGAATAATTAATAGTATAAACAGTAATTATTAGTGAGCATCTTTATCATTAGTATCATCAGTGTTCATCATCTATTCCGTAAATGTTCCAAGGCCACTCGTGACCGTGAGCACGACTGATATACCAGTTTTACACTCTGCAGATGTTGTACACTTTCACTGTGAGTCGTAATTTACCCTTTCGTCCGAGTCGGCCAGCCTCTTGACCCACTAGCAAGGAAGGTCGGCAGGGTTCACTATCAAGCCTTTCAAAGGTTTGTTTAACAAGTTAGGGCTATTAGATTCACTCGGCAAACAGATATAGGAACCCCTCTGTCGAATGGCACAATTCCATCACGGCTATACACATAAGAGTAGAGGCTGTCCTATACCCGATTCGTCAAGCCATTCTTACGCCAATAAAGGTAACCTCTAACAAGCTAGAAAAGATTTTCATACTGAGCTAAAGCCAGAGCCATATAGCCATCACAGTTGTACTGTAAGTCCCGGATGATCACTTACAGATAAGTCCTTAGAAAGAGGAATCTAGAGCATCATAAAATAACCCAATGCTCTAGCCCCCTTATTCCATGTTGCTAAAAAAGCATCTTTTAGTGTTTATTGCATATTACATTAGTCAAGTTATAAGATCATGGTTGTAGTTGAGCACTAGCATCAAACTATCCAATGCAATACCCCATAGGTATCAAGGTACAGGGTAACAAAGTACTAGGAAATCCTTAGTGGCAGTCAAGGTAGACACATGCAGTATGAATTAAATGATTAAAGGTGTATAGGACAACAAGAAAGATCCCATACTATACTTGTCTTAAACTTAGATCCTTCTTCAAGTCCAAAACTTTAAAGATCCGCTTCTTGATTCACCACGTATAACTCACCGACTGGACATGATCATAAAGCACCACACAAACATCCATGCAATCATACACGAAGCAAACAATAGATCTCAATTACAACATTACACCTAACATAAAATCAGGATGAAAAGTTTGTAAAACGAATCTACGTCTTGCTACGAACACACAGACGCGAAAAACACGCTAATCGGAGCTACGGTTGAAAAGATACAACTACCGAAAGATTTGCTTTATACGTGAAAAAAAACTATAGGCTTCATTTATTTTAACTATATAACTTCATATATATAAGATATTTTATAAATAATATAAATCGAATTAAGACAATTTTAGATTTAAATTATAAAACTAAAGTAAAACAAATTATATTTTATTTATAAAGTCCAGTTGCATAATTATTATTCAAATTAGAGTTTAAATCATAAAATTCCAGAAATAGTGACATGGTAACTACTGTTACTAACGCGTAGATCTCATCGCTATGAATCTAACGCAACTTGAATGAGCTAAAACGGAGTTAAAACGTAGAAGATATGAATTAAACAAGATTTCTTTTAATAAAATAATAGATTAAATCTAATCATGAATTTTAAAAGTTGAAAACATACTTAACAGTAGTATGAACACGTAAGTTATGAAATTACGAACCTAACGCAATTTGAACGGGTCAAATCAGAGTTAAAATGGAGAAGTTATGGCATAAAGAAGATAGTGGCAAAACTGTACTTAACTGAAAACGTATTTTGAATCTAAACCGACGAAACTACGCTTTTCAAAGAAGAAAACGTAACCTCTGATTGCGCCTTGGACCGCGGGTTCTATTATTGAAAAGCGCAGGGAATCTTTAGCAAAATCAGCTGGCGAAGGGGTATCGGGTGATGGAGGCCGTGGGATCTAGATTGGACGGCGGTGATGGAAGCGGGTGGTGAGAAAAAAACATAGCCGGCCAGAACAGGGCCGGTAGCGAGGTGACAGCGGCGGCGCATGGAAGAGCTCACCGGAGCTCTCGGTTCACGGCCTACGGAGCACGGTTTTCGACGGTAAGAACAAGGGAGAGGACAGGAGGTTGAGGCGAGCTCACCTAGAGGGTTTCCGACGGCGGAGAAAGCACGGAGATGACTCGACGGCGTCAAGCTCCTTCGGTGGGATCCAAGCGATGGTGCTAGGCTGGCTCAGGGAGAGGGCAGTGCGAAATAGGGCGCGGGATAGCCGACACGGCGCTGGGCTCACTATTTATGTGATGGAGGAACTTGTGGCGCACGGCATCGAGGAGACAGGAGCAGTGTGAACACGGAGTGCATGGTGGCGGCGGTAGAGTCCGCATCAACGACAGACCGAGGTAGGAGGCGGAGCTAACGGGCGGGCCTAGGGTGGCAGCGGGGCAGTGGGAAAGGAGAGGCGCGGGTGCGCTTGCTAGCGGGCCACGACCGTAGGCCCAAGAGGAAGCGGCGCGTGGGGAGGAAGAGCTGGGCCTGCACGTTGGGCCAAAGGGGGAAGAAGAAGGGAGCTGGGTCGAGGACAAATGACAAAGGAGGTGGAAGAAGAGAAGATGGGCCACGGAAGAAAAAAACAGGCCGGCTGGCTGCTGGGCTGCACGGGAGAGAAATAGCTGGGCCGCTTGGCTTGGGGGGCCGGCTGGGCCAAGAGAGAAAAAGGAGAATGGATTTTTTTTTCCAAATATCTTTCTATTTTCCTTTCTTAATTCAAACCAAATTTTAAAACATGAACCAAATCGAATTTTGATGTAGTTTCAAGTATACTTTTCAGCTCAAATAAAAGTGAGCAATTTTGATCAGTTTTCAAAAATATTTTTTTACAACTTTTTAAATTCTTTTATTTTCTAATTCTCTTTTCTTTCTTTTCTTTTACTTCAAAGCCATTTTCAAATTTATTTTTCAAAAGCATTTTGAATGTTTTCAATTTGAATCAAATCCACACAGTTCAAAGAAACAAATGCACCGACATGTATGCACAAACATGTTGCTACCTTTTAATTTAATGAAAATTTTTATTTTCCTATATTTTATGTGCACAAAAATTCCAACTTAGATATTTTTAGCTCTATTTTCAAAAATTCAAATTTTAGGGTGTTACAATTCTACCCCTTTAAGATGAATCTCGTCCCCGAGATTCGGAGAACGTCGCCTAGGAGATAGAAACACTTCGTCTTTAGATTCTTCTTTACTTCCTCGCGTATTTCCATTGTCTTGATAAGAATACC